GCTGAACATCATCATCTGCGGAGCCTGCATTTGGCATCTGGGAATCCTCTTGTGCATTCACGTTTTCAGGATCAACTTCGTAACTCAAGTTGTCCCCAGCAGAGGACTGAGAACATCCAGAGTCAGAACTCTGAAGTATTTCTATCTGTTGGTCTGGAAGATCAAAATCAGATACAACCATTGGAATTGTCTCACTGCTTGTACTTAGAAGGGACAGTCTGTCACTTAATGGATTAACAGTAAGACTGAAGTTCTCTATTTCATCCATGGTAAGCGTCTTTTCACCATTTCCTTTTGATGCAATGAGTTGTACTTGGCTTACTGGCATATGAGAAAAAGAGTAAAGGAAAAATATAAAATATATTAAAATAACTGAAACGTAGACTGAACAAGATTTTTAATCATTACTTTCATTACCTCCTTATATTTTCCTATTAAAATATTTATTAATATGCTAGACTTTTTAAGTTAGAAAATTATGTAGATGACCATTAACTAGAATTTAATAGACAATTCAATACTAGAAGGCCTGTTATTCAACTGAATTAAACAAAACAGCACATTTAACAGATAAAATATAAAACTTTGCCCTTATCCCCAAATACATCCTTTTAAAATCACTTAGTATATAGTTAATATATAAATACAAAATCTTCTTGATTTTAATAAAATTCAACAAGCATTTATGAATTATATAGTTTGAGTAAGGCCCTAAACCAGGACAGGAGAGTGAGGTAAGGAAAAGACATCACTGTTCTAAGAAGTTTAAAACTAGCAGGGCATCACAAATATCCATTTCGGTACTTTTGGGGGGACATTCTTTTAGAGAGGCTTAGTTCCATGCAAGCAGTGCAAAATCAGATGCTTCAAATTTAGGAAAAACATCATGACACCACAGGTGAGGTCTGAGAATGATCTCAGAGGACAGATGAGAATTCAGCTGACAGGCAGGAACTATGGCAGGCAAAGTGCTAACACAAGAGTTCTGGCAATAAGCAGGGTAGAGCATGTTCTTAGAAGATTCAGGGGAAGCAGTGGAAAGGTAGTTAGAGAAAGGAACCAAGGCTCTGTAGAAACACACTAAAGATGAAGTAGGAGCACGACAGTTTAGTTCTAGCTTAACCGCTTACCAGCTCTGAGACTTTGAGAAAACCACAGCCTTCTAAGCATCAGTTTCCTGCTTGGTCAAGTGACCTTTCATTACTGACCTCACAGGATTATTTGACAAGAGATACAAATGAAATATTGAGTCTTTTGTCCCTAAGGTATATTAATCTAAGGGGGCCATTATCAGTGTATTACAAAGGGTATCATTTGGCAATATGTGAAGTGTGGACTTTATTCTAGCAATAGAGAATATTTATCAAACACACTAGTCTCTGCACTAAACATGTCACAAACATTGCTATATCTAACATTCACAATGAAGCCTTGAGAGGTGGGTATTATCATTCCTATTTTACAGATGAGGAAAATGACGCATGAAATATGAAGTGCATTATAAGCTTACTAAAGATTCCCAGTGAAGTATCTACAGAGCCTTGCAGGGCCAGGATTATAAACTCTAAAGGTTATTTGTTAATACTGAAGAATGTTTCCGACCAGAGCTGGGCTGAGTCCTCCCCTGAAAGAAGCAACTGATAACAGAGATCCAAGTCCCCTATGATGGTCGCTGATACGGTACATACTGACACAGCCCATGTGAGCACTACTAGTGCATGCGGAGGGGAGAAAATCAGCCCAGGGAGAAATTCTCACGTTTGATTCTCCTGACAATCACTGTTGTGTTTGCCTTTCATTTTATTTTAATAATTTAATTCTATATAAAGTTGTTCTACTTCCGTGTGATATTCACCATTATTGCAGGAAAAATTCTGCATGAAATGCTTGTCATTCTCTTCTCCGGGATAACAGGGGGCCTTATTCCAATAACGTTCTGCTTGTACCCGCTGCACTGAAACCCTCTGAGTTTTGGGATGAAGCAAGAGCAATAGCAGTGGTTCCAAAACTCTTGCAATATCATGTCTTTGCAGGACTTGGTTCAGCCAGGCTTGTCCCACAGAGCTGGTGGAACCATCGAGACTGTTAAGGCTGTCTAACATGATGAACAGTGACCTACAATAAACACCAATAATTAAAATAAAGAGCAAAATACCTACTTTAATTTTAACACTCTAAGTTTTCTAAAATTAACATCTATAAGTTGTGTTTCTTGCTTTGAATTAACTATTTTAAAGTAATCATACTTCAGAATAACTTCTGACCACAGTATTTTAATCATCTTAATCCCCAGTCTCTGTAGATACTATAAGAAAGGAGAAATAGTTTTTTCTCGTTTTTTGTGTTTTTTGAAATTTCACAAGCATACATTACTTTTAAAAGATAAATACTAAAAAACAGAAAAAAAAAACCTTAAACAATTAGTCTTGTTTTAGCAACATATTACTGTTCACGTCACCAAATACTGAACGGTCTGCAAGTCAACACTACTTTCATGTTGGTCTGTGCCCCACTGCTCCCATTCTCTTTACCAGTTGAAGTGATGTGCTTAATTCAAGGAAAGACCTTCTGTGAAAGGTGTGGAGGTATAGTTTGGAATCAGAACACCCAAGATTCAAATCTGGGCCATGCACTTCACCTCGTGTGTAACGATCTTGGGCAAATCACTTAACTTCACTGGGGCCTTCACTGCCTCACATGATGAGGACAGGCAGTCAATAAATTACAGATGGTATCTGTAAAGTACCTAGGACCAGGGCCCAGTTCATTACAGGGGTTCAACAGCAGACCGTTTTAAAATGGTGATGCTGTGTGAAATAACCAGCTGAAATAACATCCAGTAGAGTCCACATCTGATCCTGAGTGGGGCTTGAGTGTAGTTAGATTTGGGGTCACCTCTATGAGACTTGCTGGTGAGACTGCTATCTATGCCAATGTATGTAAGTTTACCTATAAATGGCATCTCCTTGGAAGTTACTGCAAATCTCATATTTGGGGTATGGGTCATCTATGTTGTCTAGACAAACTCTCAGGCAGTTAACTACAGATTTTTTTAATCCATGGAAGCGGTTTGTCAGTATTTTTGCTATAGATTTTAATGTCTGGCTCAGGCAGAAGACTGAGAATGATTACTAGAGAAACACTTATACAATCTACTGTTTATATGAAATTTCACTGAATGTGAATATATATATATACTCAAGAAGGCTGTATCTGTTGCTGTAACCCTGACACCTAGAATGGCTCCTGGAACATAGAAGTAACTTGATGAAGTCATCCAATGAAAGGAAGGGGCACTGGGTGCTCCAGAGCATGAAAGGTGAAAATCTGTTAGATAAATGAAAATGCCATGCCTTTTAATACAGCTTAGATTTAAAAAAATAACTTATAAATTCTCTTTATAAAATCACAAGTTGCTCTCTCCGATCCCTGCTCTTTCTCCCCTACCAAATAGGCTAGGGGATTCAAGAAAAGAAACATTAAGATACCAGAATATAAAATGTAACCAACCTGTCAAAAGACCGTGCAAAAGATGAAGACTTATTTATATGGAGGTCCCTTGTTAGATGCCAAAGAACTGCAAATTTTGCATGTGCTTCCATCCTTATTTTCTGAGGATGAATATGAGAGATTATTTTATTATCCTTTGAAGGTATTAAATAATTTTAGTATAAACAAAGTAGTTATTTAAGACAGAGTATTATGTTGTATTATGTTCAATGTTCACAGAACTCCAACACACGATGAAATAAGCTGTGTTTTTTATGGAAGTAGAAAAGTGGAAAATACTTAAATATATAAAGAAATATTAAACCTAAAGGATCATCTCATGCTGCCACATAAGTTGTTATTTAGTTTAGGTAATCAGTTTACTAGATTATTTTATAACATGGGATGGAAAAACCTAATAATGTGCATGTTATGATATTCTGAGTATAGGAAGCACTTTCCCCCTCATTTTAATATATAAATACACAGTATTTATATATTACACATAAAACCAATTTTATGGCACTATATACTTTGCTTTTGCTCCCAGAAACTACATGTTAATCCCAAATGAATTTATCAACACTTACAAAGCTGGTTTATTAGATTAAAAATTTTAGGGGGCTTCCCTGGTGGCGCAGTGGTTGAGAGTCCGCCTGCCGATGCAGGGGACACAGGTTCGTGACCTGGTCCGGGAAGATCCCACATGCCGTGGAGCGGCTGGGCCCGTGAGCCATGGCCGCTGAGTCTGCGCGTCCGGAGCCTGTGCTCCACAACGGGAGAGGCCACAACAGTGAGAGGCCCGCGTACCGCAAAAAAAAAAAAAAAAAAAAATTTTAAGGACCAAAAAAATTGTTTCTACAAGAAAAATATTACATCACTTTTGGAATTATTTGGAAAGATTAACTGTTAAGATAACAATGGATAGAATAATGGAAAAATAAATTATTTAGAAAGACCAGTATTTAGTATTAGATAATGAAAATGTGTTAATGGAAATCACACAGAAATTGTCCTTGGATTGAAAGAATCAAAATTGTGAAAATGACTATACTACCCAAAGCAATCTACAGATTCAATGTAATCCTTACCAAATTACCAATGGCATGTTTTACGGAACTAGAACAAAAAAAATCTTAAAATTTGTATGGAGACACAAAAGACCCCAAATAGCCAAAGCAATCTTCAGGGGAAAAAAAAATGGAGCTGGAGGAATAAGACTCCCTGACTTCAGACTATACTACAAAGCTACAGTCATCAAGACAATATGGTACTGGCACAAAAACAGAAATATAGATTAATGGAACAGGACAGAAAGCCCAGAGATAAACCCACGCACCTATGGTCAACTAATCTATGAGAAAGGAGGCAAGGATATACAATGGAGAAGACAGCCTCTTCAGTAAGTGGTGCTGGGAAAACTGGACAGCTACATGTAAAAGAATGAAATTAGAAGACTCCCTAACACTATACACAAAAATAAACTCAAAATGGATTAAAGACCTAAATGTAAGACCAGACACTTTAAAACTCTTAGAGGAAAACACAGGAAGAACCCTCTATGACATAATTCACAGCAAGATCTTTTTTGACCCACCTCCTAAAGTAATGAAAATAATAAAAAAAAAAAACAAATGGGAACTAATGAAACTTAAAAGTTTTGCACAGCAAAGGAAACTATAAACAAGATGAAAAGACAACCCTCAGAATGGGAAAAAATATTTTCAAATGAACTAACGGACAAAGGATTAATCTCCAAAATATATAAACAGCTCATGCAGCTCAATATCAAAAAAACAAACAACCCCATCCAAAAATGGGCAGAAGACCTAAATGGACATCTCTCCAAAGAAGACATACAGATGGCCAAGAAGCACATGAAAAGCTGCTCAACATCACTAATCATTAGAGAAATGCAAATCAAAACTACAACGAGGTATCACCTCACACCGGTTAGAATGGGCATCATCAGAAAATCTACAAACAACAAATGCTGGAGAGGGTGTGGAGAAAAGGGAACCCTCTTGCACTGTTGGTGGGAATGTAAACTGATACAGCCATTATGGAGAACAGTATGGAGGTTCCTTAAAAAACTAAAAATAGAATTACCATATGACCCAGCAATCCCACTACTGGGCACATACCCTGAGAAAATCGTAATTCAAAAAGACACATGCACCCCAGTGTTCACTGCAGCACTATTTACAATAGCCAGGTCATGGAAGCAACCTAAATGCCCATCGACAGACAAATGGATAAAGAAGATGTGGTACATATATACAATGGAATATTACTCAGCCATGAAAAGGAATGAAATTGGGTCATTTGTAGAGATGTGGATGGCCCTAGAGACTGTTATACAGAGTGAAGTCAGTCAGAAAGAGAAAAACAAATATCGTATATTAACACATATATGTGGAATCTAGAAAAATGGTACAGATGAACCAGTTTGCAGGGCAGAAAGAGAGACACAGATGTAGAGAACAAACGTATGGACACCAAGGGGGAAAGTGGTGGGGGTGGTGGTGGTGGTGGTGGTGGTGGGATGAACTGGGAGATTGGAACTGACATGTATACACTGATATGTATAAAATGGATAACTCATAAGAACCTGCTGTATAAAAATAAATAAAATTTTAAAAAAACAGAGAAAAAGAAATTGTAATATTCCAAAAATTTTATAGTCTTCCTCCAGCATTTGCGGAATCCTTCAAGTAAAAGATCACTGAAATCGGGATTGCGACTGTCTAAACTGTTTGTAATAGGTTAGAGGAGCGCCTGCTTTTTCTGTGGGCCTAATAAATGGTTTTCCAATGAAGTCTGTGTTTATACATCAACCAACAGAAACATGTAAAAAAAAGTAAATAATAACAGATAGTTTTTTTCATGGATATATAATATCTTTATTCAGAGCTTAGTATTTTTTTAAAATGAAATGTTATACAAGTAAACAGGTGTATAATTTGTCCTAGATTTATACTTAATGTAAAGCAAATTACTGCACTGAAATACAAGGCTCTATTTAAAATTTTCTGAACAATTCTGAAAGAATGTGTTGAAGTAAAATTAGAATTTTAACAGTTTTCTTGGAATAAACTTTTCAGTTCTCTCATTTACTCCTTCATTTGCCAGGTCCCCCTGCCAAATGCTGCATTTACTCTACACAATGCCTTTTTGAACATAACCCATTCAATCTCACTAGCACTGAGAACTTTTCAAAATGAGGGCAATCCACTTCTAAAAGCTGTTCAATAAAATCTTCTTAAAATTAACGTTGGAGAGCAGATACAGGAAGACCACAAACTTCATTAAGTTTCCCTGAACAGGTCAATCAGAATGATTGTTCTAGCTTCTTCTCAGGCCCAGTCATGACTCAGCCATCTTTACTCTAACTGACGTATGTATCACACTTCATATACATTAGGATACAAAATCCTTATTTTGGATGTTTATAATAAGGCAAATAATATAATCTCACATACTAACACTCCATAGCTTATAAATGTCATTTCACATATATTAGTTAATGTATCCACCAGTTTCATAACTGAGACCACCGAATACATCTTTAAACAACCCAAGAACTTGGACCACCAACAACTTTAATCATCACTCCCCACAGGTGGTATCCTGAACCAAGAAATAAACCCAGCATTTGATTTTGGGTTCCTTGATTTTTCATATTACTGACGCTTGTGTAAAGAACTTTCCTCTAAAAAGAATAGAACACATGTATTTTAGAGATCTGATGATCACTGAATGAATTCATATTATCTCTTATTCAGATACTAGATGAAATAATTTTCCTAGAGTTTCCTTAATTTACCTTTTAGTATAATGCGAGCAGGAGGTAGGGTGGGCACAGGATAAGAAGAGAAGAATTTACCTTATCTTTATGGGTCAACTGCTGACTTATAACATCCTCACAGATGCTAGAAGAAGGAACCAAGTTATGTAATTGATAAAACAGTTCCACACTCTTCTGGTGGTGCTGAGGTGTCCCATCTCCCATCTGGTTCCACAATGTTAAAGCTACATGCTATAAAAAAAAAAGTCACAGTTACAAAATTGCAAATGGAAACTTATTTAACAGACATTTCCTATTAGGTACAAACAAGCCTCTGACTGCCAGACCTAGAAGGTCTTAATACTCATTATGCCACTGGAATGAGATTTAAAAGTGTAGCTTTCCATCTGCTCACTTTCTGGTCCAGGCTTTTAGAACCTCTTATGATAGTCCTTTAATTATATTTATCTTAAGCAGCAGATATGTAATCACTTTTTACAGGGTCCAGATGAGACCCCATTTCACTATTTTAGAGATGTTTAGTAAAGTGATGCTAGAGTATGTTATCTTTAAGAGGATATAAATCCCATATTGAAGGCAATTTAACATTACAGTTATATGCTGCAAAGTGAAATATAATTCATAGTCTAAATATGCAAACTACTTAAAACATACAAAATAGGTTGTAACTATTTCAGTACTACAAGTGTTAACATAGCACTTGATGATCTATGACAGCATTAATAAAAATGCAACAATCATCAGGGTTCACCACAACATTGTAGAACCCAACTCTAACCTAGCAGGAGGAACTATCTGGAGGGGCACAATAACTTGAAATTACATTAAAATTTAAAAAAAATTTTATATATAAATAATCTACCTGCTTAAGTCAAATATACTTGATGTTCTTTCTATGTAGAGGATATCATATTTACTGTTGTAACAGAGATCAAAGACTGCATTTTTTTTGAATGACATCATGCATCACAAATGATCATCAGACAATTCAGTCAGAAAACTTTTTCTGGGTGTTTTGGAGAGCTGAGGTTGCACTCTACGAAAAGCAAAAGTGTCACAACCACTTTATCTGGAAATACATTTTACTGTATAAATGAACGTTTCTCTTTACCCTAATACTCCCCTCATCCTTATCTTTTTTCTCCTCACAAAGGTGGGGAGAAGACTGGCCAAGCAGCACTGATCAAGTGTGGTGTCTTTTCCTATATGGTATGATATTAAGGGGTGTTTAATTAAGCCTGATTATTTCCTTTAAAGTCTCTGCTACACAAATTAGCTCAAGTATCATCTTAGTCATGAATGTATTTCTTAGAGCTCACCTTGAAAAAATCAGTCTTCTCAGCTATGTATCTCAGATTGCCCGGAGTGAGGGGAGGTCTAATAACCACAGCTACTCTTCCCTGATTTGGACTTAAGGGTTGTGCAGGCTCCACACTGTTGATGTTTTCCCCAGCGACCATGGCCACCGACTGAGTCAGTCCTACCAGATCCATCACTAGTGAAATCGCAGCGCTCTGCACACTGCAATCACTTGCTTGGCTACAAGCGGTCATCAGCGTCTGCAGCCACAGTGGAGGCTGCACGTGCTCCCAGTCTGAAACGAAAGCCGGAAGCCAACACAGTCCATCACGCTGAACCTTTCACGCACACCCTATCTTCCAAGTTAATTTCAAAACACAAAGCACTTCTACCAAATAACTTTAGGCCTTGCTCGGTGAACAAAACCATGGTTTCTCACTTAGACTAGAGCTTCAAGAAAATAAAGCAGCACCAGAAACTTCATAAAATTTTTTTAATATGTATTTTTCTTATGCCAAGTCATACAACCTATTTTGTCCTAAAAAAAGTTTATTAATCAATTAACATTATGTAGTACTCACTGCACTATGTGTGTGTACTATGTATGTGTGTGTGTATGTGTGTATATATATATGTATAAATAAAAATTTAAATGAAGGTAAACACATATGATGCTAGTCATAATAAAGGAAATCAGGAAATTTTCCAACATATCAATCTCCCCATAATGACAGTATTTCATTGAAAAAAAATCTACAAATTAAAAGTTTTAAAAATTAAGAGGCTAAAAGAAATCCCAGTTTTAATATCTGAGTGTTCCTTAAAATAAAGGGGGAGGGGAAAGCATGCCATAAAAATATTTTTAAATATCAGAGATGACCTTACCAGTCTCTGATTTTTCAGAACATAACTCTGAGGTATGGTTCCCCTCAGCAATGTAAACTGGGAAGCTTGAGCACTCCAGGAAGAGCTGACAGGCAGCAAGGAAGGCAGAAAGGTATTCTTTTGAAGTTTTTTGTTTACTTATGTTTCTCTCTTTTACACCACCGTGGGAATCCCTGTCCCAGTCTGAAGTCTCTCCTAGCTCTCGAATAAGATCCCCTTGATGCTCTGTAGCCAAAGCCTGAGAGAAAGAGTTACTCTGAATGATGTAGAGGTTGATAAGTCTGGTGAGAAACTGTTGGACATACTCCAAGCAGCACTGCATTGCAGTTTTTTGGGCTGTCTTCCCACTTTGGGGTGCTGCCCCCTGAGTGACTATGGAAGGGGGCTGGATGATAGTTTCTTCAGATCCCACAGTGGAGGCCGTTTCTGTTTCGGAGGATGTGCTACCAATTGGGATGGCAGCTGCCTCCGGTCCCTCACTCAGTTCTCTGTCGATGTCATCAGTTCGGTCTGCTTGATACTGTATGAACTCAGTGAATCCACTCTCTGAGGAGCGACTACTTGGTGGATTTTCTCCATCTTCAAACACTTCAGTAGGATTTTCAAGAGAAACTGATAATACCTGGTAGAGTGTAAAAAGAGCAGAAGGCTGAGTGACTAAATGTATTATATTAGAAATTAAAATTAAAAAGTCACATTTTGAAGGAAGTCAGCTTTAGATTTGACTTATTCACAACCTAATTAACATTTCACAACTTAATCTACCTCTCTCTCTCTCTCTCTCTCTCTCTCTCTCTCTCTATATATATATATATATTTTTTTTTTTGCAGTACGTAGGCCTCTCACTGTTGTGGCCTCTCCCGTCGCTCCGGACGCGCAGGCTCAGCGGCCATGGCTCATGGGCCCAGCCACTCCTCGGCATGTGGGATCTTCCCAGACCAGGGCACGAACCCGCAACCCCTGCATCGGCAGGCAGACTCTCAACCACTGTGCCACCAGGGAAGCCCTAATCTATATATTTGGTTGAATCTTAAAAGAGTTTCTACAATTGATTCACATATCTATGCTAATAGGATATACTGATATGGTTCTAATTAATATATTAATATAAAGCTATTCAATATTTATTATTTGCTATATGCATAACTTAAGCTTAGGTTCTTGAGGACAAAATACACATATGTAAAACTCTCTAGGATCTACATCCTTGTTTTCAAACTACTAATAATTTATTCAATCTACTTCATGAAATCACTTTTCTAATGTCTAAACAATGCATGGAATGAGACATGTAAGGTTAAAAAAAATGACATTTTAAAAACTAGAAATAGGGGGACCTTCAAAATGGCAGAGAAGACATGGAGATCACCTTCCTCCCCACAAATGCATCAGAAATACATCTAAATGTGGAACAACCCCTACAGAACACCTACTGAATGCTGGCAGAAGACCTCAGACCCCCCAAAAGGCAAGAAACCCCCCACGTACCTGGGTAGGGCAAAAGAAAAAATTAATTAAAAACAGACAATAGAATAGGGACGGCACCTGCACCAGTGGGAGGGAGCTGTGAAGGAGGAAAGGTCTCCACACACTCGGAAGCCCCTTCGCGGGCAGAGACTGCGGGAGGCGGAGCGGGGAGCTTCGGAGCCGTGGAGGACAGCACAGCAACAGGGGTGCGGAGGGCAAAGCGGAGAGACTCCCGCACAGAGGATCGGTGCCGACTGGCACTCACCAGCCCGAGAGGCTTGTGTGCTCGCCCGCCGGGGCGGGTGGGGGTGGGAGCTGAGGCTCAGGCTTCGGAGGTCAGACCCCAGGGAGAGGACTGGGGTTGGCTGCCTGAACACTGCCCGAAGGGGTTAGTGCACCACAGCTAGACAGGAGGGACTCCGGGAAAAAGTCTGGACCTGCCCAAGAGGCAAGAAACCATTGTTTCAGGGTGCGCGAGGAGAGGGGATTCAGAGCACCGCCTAAATGAGCTCCAGAGATGGGCGGGAGCCACGGCTATTAGCGCGCACCCCAGAGACGAGCATGAGACACTAAGGCTGCTCCTGCCGCCACTAAGAAGCCTGTGTGCGAGCACAGGTCACTGTCCACACCTCCCCTCCTGGGAGCCTGTGCAGCCCGTCACTGCCAGGGTCCCGGGATCCAGGGACAACTTCCCCAGGAGAACGCACGGCGCGCCTCAGGCTGGTGCAATGTCATGCTGGCCTCTGCAGCCGCAGGCCCCGCCCCTCACGCCGTGCCCCTCCCTCCCCCAGGCCTGAGTGAGCCAGAGCCCCCCAATCAGCGGCTCCTTTAACCCCGTCCCGTCTAAGCGAAGAACAGACGCCCTCAGGCGACCTAGACGCAGAGGCGGGGCCACATCCAAAGCTGAACCCCGGGAGTCGTGCGAACAAAGAAGAGAAAAGGGAAATCTCTCCAGGCAGCCTCAGGAGCAGCGGATTAAACCTCCACAATCAACTTGATGTACCTGCATCTCTGGAACACCTGAATAGACAATGAATCATCCCAAATCGAGGAGGTGGACTTTGGGAGCAACTGTAGACTTGGGGTTTGCTTTCTGCATCTAATTTGTTTCCAGTTTTATGTTTATTTTATTTTAGTGTTCAGAGCTTATTATCATTGGTAGATTTGTTTATTGATTTGGTTGCTCTCTTCCATTTTTTTAATATATATATATTTTTTCTCTTTTTGTTAGTGTGTATGTGTATGCTTCTTTATGTGATTTTGTCTGTACAGATTTGCTTTTACCATTTGTCCTAGGGTTCTGTCTGTATTTTTTTGTTTTTTGTTTTTTTTTTCAGTATAGTCCTTAGCACTTGTTATCACTGGTAGATTTGTTTTTTGGTTTGGTTGCTCTCTTCCTTTTTTTATTACTTTTTAATATTTTAATTAAAAATTTTTATTTTAATAACTTTATTTTATTATTTTTTTCTTTCTTTCTTTTGTTCTTTCCTTTCTCCCTTTGATTCTGAGCCAAGTGGCTGACAGGGTCTTAGCTCTCTGGCCGAGTGTCAGGCCTGAGCCTCTGAGGTGGGAGAGCTGAGTTTAGGATGCTGGTCCACCAGAGACCTCCCAGCCCCACATAATATTTAACAGCGAAAGCTCTCCCAGAGATCTCCATCTCAACGCTAAGACCCAGCTCCACACAATGACTAGCAAGCTCCAGTGCCGGACATCCCATGCCAAACAACTAGCAAGACAGGAAACCAACCCCACCCATTAGCAGAGAGGCTGCCTAAAATCATAACACGGTCACAGACACCCCAAAACACACCACCGGACGCGGTCCTGCCCACCAGAAAGACAAGACCCAGCCTCACCCACCAGAACACAGGCACCAGTCCCCTCCACCAGGAAGCCTACACAGCCCACAGAACCAACCCTACCCACTGGGGGTAGATACCAAAAAAAAAGGGAACTATTAACCTGCAGCCTGCGAAAAGGAGACCCCAAACACAGTAAGTGAAGCAAAATAAGAGGACAGAGAAATACACAGCAGATGAAGGAGCAGGGTAAAAACCCACCAGACTGAACAAATGAAGAGGAAACAGGCAGTCTACCTGAAAAAGAATTCAGAGTAATGACAGTAAAGATGATCCTAAATCTTGGAAATAGAATGGAGAAAATACAAGAAGCGTTTAACAAGGACCTAGAAGAACTAAAGAGCAAACAAACAATGATGAACAACACAATAAATGAAATTAAAAATTCTCTACAAGGAATCAATAGCAGAATAACTGAGGCAGAAGAACGGATAAGTGACCTGGAAGATACAACAGTGGAAATAACTACCGCAGAGCAGAATAAAGAAAACAGAATGAATAGAATTGAGGACAGTCTCAGCGACCCCTGGCACAACATTAAACACACCAACATTCGAATTATAGGGGTCCCTGAAGAAGACAAAAAGAAAGGGACTGAGAAAATATTTGAAGAGATTATAGGTGAAAACTTCCCTAATATGGGAAAGGAAATAGTCAACCAAGTCCAGGAAGTGCAGAGAGTCCCATATAGGATAAATTCAAGGAGAAACATGCCAAAACACATATTAATCAAACTATCAAAAATTAAACACAAAGAAAAAATATTAAAATCAGCAAGGGAAAAGCAACAAATAACACAGAAGGGAATCCCCATAAGGTTAACAGCTGATCTTTCAGCAAAAACTCTGCAAGCCAGAAGGTAGGGACACGACATATTTAAAGTGATGGAAGGGAAAAACCTACAAACAAGATTACTCTACCCAGCAAGGATCTCATTCAGATTCGATGGAGAAATTAAAACCTTTACAGACAAGCAAAAGCTAAGAGAATTCAGCACCACCAAACCAGCTTTACAACAAACGCTAAAGGAACTTCTCTAGGCAGGAAACACAAGAGAAGGAAAAAACCTACAATAACAACCCCAAAACAATTAAGAAAATGGTAACAGGAACATACATATCGATAACTACCTTAAATGTAAATGGATTAAATGCTCCAACTAAAAGACAAAGACTGGCTGAATGGATACAAAAACAAGACCCATATATATGCTGTCTACAAGAGACCTGCTTCAGACCTGGGGACACATACAGACTGAAAGTGAGGGGATGGAAAAAGATATTCCACGCAAATGGAAATCAAAAGAAAGCTGGAGTAGCAATTCTCATATCAGACAAAATGGACTTTAAAATAAAGACTATTAGAAGAGACAAAGAAGGACACTACATAATGATCAAGGGATCGATCCAAGAAGAAGATATAACAATTGTAAATATTTATGCACCCAACATAGGAGCACCTCAATACATAAGGCAAATGCTAACAGCCATAAAAGGGGAAATCGACAGTAACACATTCATAGTAGGGGACTTTAACACCCCACTTTCACCAATGGACAGATCATCCAAAATGAAAATAAATAAGGAAACACAAGCTTTAAATGATGCATTAAACAAGATGGACTTAACTGATATTTATAGGACATTCCATTCAAAAACAACAGAATACACTTTCTTCTCAAGTGCTCATGGAACATTCTCCAGGATAGATCATATCCTGGGTCACGAATCAAGCCTTGGTAAATATAAGAAAGTTGAAATTGTATCAAGTATCTTTTCTGACCACAACAATATGAGACTACATATCAATTACAGAAAAAACCTGTAAGAAATACAAACACATGGAGGCTAAACAATATGCTACTAAATAACCAAGAGATCACTGAAGAAATCAAGGAGGAAATCAAAAAATACCTAGAAACAAATGACAATGAAAACACTATGACCCAAAACCTATGGGATGCAGCAAAAGCAGTTCTAAAAGGGAAGTTTATAGCAATACAATCCTACCTTAAGAAACAAGAAACATCTCAAATAAATAACCTAAACTTACACCTAAAGCAATTAGAGAAAGAAGAACAAAAAACCCCCAAAGTTAGCAGAAGGAAAGAAATCATAAAGATCATATCAGAAATAAATGAAAAAGAAATAAAGGAAACAAAAGCAAAGATCAATAGGAAACGAAACAAAAGCAAAGATCAATAAAACTAAAAGTTGGTTCTTTGAGAAGATAAACAAAATTGATAAACCATTAGCCACACGCATCAAGAGAAAAAGGGAGAAGACTCAAATCAAC